TCATGCTATTCCTCCCTCGGAGTTATTTTGATATTTACAATTAGGTAATTTAGTTGCACCCTTGATTCGTAGACAGGATTTCCCCCCCGTACCTTTTCTGGTTTTGAATTGCTTTGTAAGGCGTCAGCTTCAACCATAAGGTGCCCTCTCTCAGGATTTATCAATCCAGAATCATATGGTTGAACCTCTACCTGCTTATTGTGTGCAATGGAATGTGGAGCTTCAGATGGAAATTTCTGCTGAGGGTTGGGGGCCTATGTGGCAAACGGTTTCCCGATGCTCTCGCAACATTCCTACATTAGAGAATTCCTATAAAGTAATTTCGAGATGGTATTTTACCTCATCTCGGATAGCTAAATTTATACCAGATTATGACACACTGTTTTTGGGGCTACTCTCTAGAGCAGGGGTGTCCAAACTTTTTTCAAAGAGGGCCAGATTGGATGAAGTGAACATGGTGGAGGGCCGAACATTTTTTCCGAACATTCTTTGAACCATTACAATTAAATGCAAATAAATTATTTTATGCCAAGTTAATTGCAAATGACATACTTTTCATTTCATAACATTAAGATCAACTGACAGCTGAGTTTTCACAATGTATTGAAAATAAATTTTAAAAAAACTTACCTGCACTAATGTGAAGGGTGAAAAAGGTAGCTGGAGCTGAAGTCTCTGCTCGGCAGCCGGGAGGGGAAGAGAAACACACTTCACGCTGGAAGCCCGGCCCTGACGTCACCGCCCTCTGTCACTCCCAGCGCGGCGCAGTCACGCATGCGCACTGCTCTCAAGCAGAAGACTGTCTGCCACAGAAGGGAGGGCCGTGCGACAGCCGCATTTACACAGACCAGGGAGAACGCGCCGCAGTCAGGCATGCGCACTGCCCTCTGCTCTCAAGCAGAAGACTGTCTGCCATAGAAGGGAGGGCCACATTACACAGAGCAGGGAGGGCTGTTGGAGGGCCGTATTAAACCGACCCCAGGCCGTAAATGGCCCGCGGGCCGGACTTTGGACATGCCTGCTCTAGAGGGTACAATGCTCCACATCTGGTGGACCTGTCCAGTGGCCCGCCATTTGTGGACTAGGGTTTATAATCCCATTTATTCAGTGTGATGAACCATCCCTTTGTGTTCACATTTTGCCCTTTCTGTTCCGGTTTTATCCCCTTGTTAAGTGGTCTTTCCATTCTACCCTTTTAAAATGGTAAAGGTTTAGCAGCTGTTATGTAGACAGGCATTATACACTGTTTAGAGTAATGGTCACTTGTAGTCTTTCACTTCTCTAGAGTTCATACTGTATTGTTGTGTTGTAGGGTTCTTTTGTGGGTGGGGAAACCCCGGTGCCAGACTGTCTGGTGGGGGTGGGGGGTGAAGCTGTATATATTGAGCTGTGTTCAATAAAGATGGATTCATTTCACCCTACATGAAGTTCCGACTTGTGGTTTGGGATATCGGGGAAGGATTGTCTTTGAGCTCGAATACCTGCCTTGGCAGAGCGCTGGAAGACTTGCCGGAAAAGGGGACGCATTGCTCCGCACGAGGAAGCCCAGACGGAACAGTTCCGCCACATTCTGTTACGTCCATTAACCTTAAAAAAGACCCTATTGAAGCTTTACTTTTTAAGCCACTTCGTGGCCTACCTCGCAGGCCCGGCTCACTGGTCAATTTTTTTTTTATTTTTTAATGTCTACTGAGCAGACTATTGCCGGCTCTTGGAAGTCCCCCACTTTACAATTTGAGGAGCTCAGGTCCAGGATCCAAGGCTTCTTTATCAATTAAAAATTGACGCCGATGTTGAAGGATAAGCATAAGTTTCTCTCAGTTTGGAGACCTTGGGTGGACTACCATCCGGTTTCTCGTTTTACCACGAAGTTCACTAATCTATGATGTGTTGGGTTTTGCCTCTTCAATCCCCCTATGTGGGGATCTCGTCTCCCGCCCCTGTCCCCCAGGTGAATTTCATTTCATTGCTGGCCTGTCTTTTTCTCTGTTCTTTTCCTCCTTTTTAGTTTTTCTGTCTTTTCTGGATTGCGGGGGTTTGGGGTTCTTGACCCCTTGGCCCTCTCTGGATCTTCTAGACCCTTTTTTCTGCTCTCTCTCTTCTTTCACATGGTTTGTTTACATTTGACCAATTGCTTATCATTTGTTGTGATCTAACACATCTATGATTCTCAGGGATAATATTTCTTCAGGAGGGTGAGGCTCTCTGTGTTTCTAATTTTGCTGCCTTTCTTGAATGTAGCCTTTATATTTCAGGATGTGACTGTATGCTTCACGACCCTCTCTTTTGCATAGTGTTATCTAGACCCCTGCGTGGGTCTCATATGTGTATTTCTGTGTTTTGTATGATGTTTCCCTGTCCTCTGATGTCACTTTGTATCATATGATTCATCATGGTTTGTATGTTTCTTTCACCATGCTTAATAAAATCTTTGGTTCAATAAAAATGGTACTGAATATTACCAATTCTCCTAGGGTATACAAAACTTCTAAGCACAACTGTAGTACAATCACAAATTATCAGGGCAGGGAAAAGGTCACTTGGCCTGCTGCAGGGAGTTTCCTAACCTTTCCAGAAATACAGGTAATAAAGCACCAAGGTGTTGTCCAGGAGCGCTCAAAGGTATTCCAGAAAACCAGACTCAAATCCAGATAAGAGGATATGCCCATCATAGGCGTTTTTCAGAGTGGGGAGAAGGAAACATACCATCTGCCACCAGAGACCAGTTAGCTTCTTAGTTCAATATATAAGTCCATATAAGGAAATGACGGGTGCAAGGTGGTTCTCTCGTTCTGGAAGGATGTCATATGACGTCCTCCCACGCCAACCACGCAGCTCTGGGATTGCACAGCGTTCGGTGGCACGCTGTGTCCCTCAGACACAGCGGATCACTGATCAACGGAAAGAGCCGAAGACGTTGGCTCGGTCATGTGATCAGCTGTGTCAAATCACAGTTGATCGCATGTAAATAGGAAACTGCGGCTTATCTGCATTTCTCTCCTCACGAGCTGTCACGCCGACAGCTCGTGTGGAGAGGAGAGCCGCTAATTGGCATTCCTCAGAAGGGACATGTACACTTGATCATCAGGGCACTGGTGATCAGTGTGCCCTGATGATCAGTTCAGCCCCAGCAGTGCCAGCTGTCATTGCTCATCAATGCCACCTGCCAGTGCCCATCAGTGCCACATCAATACCACATATCAGTGCCCATCTGAGCTGCCTTTCAGTGTCACCTATCAATGCCAGTCAGTGCCACCTATCAGTGCTGCTAACCAGTGCCACCTATCAGTGCCAGTCAGTGCTGCCTATCAGTGCCGCCTAACAATGCCAGTCAGTGCCGCCAATCCCTGCTGCCTTTCAGTGCCCATCAGTGATGCCTGTCAATGCCCATCAGTACCACCTACCAGTGCAGCCGATCAGTGGAGCCTCATTAGCGCTCATCAGTGGAGAAAAATCACCTATTTACAAAATTTTATAACAAAAACTAAGAAACATTTTTTTTTCAAAATTTTCAGTTGTTTTTGGTTTGTTTAGCAAAAAATAAAAAACCCACGAGGTGCTTAAATGCCACCAAAAGAGAGCTCTGTCTCAAACAAATTATAAAAATGTCATTTGGGTACAGTGTTGCATGACCGCGCAATTGTCATTCAAAGTGCGACAGCGCTGAAAGCTGAAAATTGGCCTGGGCAGAAAGGGGGTATAAGTGCCCTACAGGCAAGTGGTAATATGACCTGAAGATTTATTGCCTTATACCGAACACATGACTATGTATCTGTGCCCTTTCTTGTTGTATAACCAAGAAAAAAGTTAATAAACTTGCCCAAAGACCAGACTCCCTAAGGCTATTGTGGATTCCCTGTGAACAGAAAGTGCTATACATTTCCATGCACAGGAAAAAAAACACCACTGTTTACAAATGGTTAAAAAAATATCTCCACTAAGTGCCCGGAGCACATTCAGGACTGTATGAATTGCGTATGTCTAGACAAGCGTTTGAAGCGGTTGAGCAAAAACAAAAAAAAATTAAGAATCACAAAAATTGTTCAAGTAGTACAAGAAACGATTACAGACATGGGACACAAATTAAATGTAAATTGATTGCTCTATTAGGATCTTAAAATAAAAAATGCTGTAAGGAGAAGGGAAATAAACATTTAACCCTTTGACCAGAGGATACTTCTGTACAGATCACCAGGTAAATTAAGCAGTATAAGTTATAATCTCAATATAACTAAAATTTGCCCAAAATCCTTTTACCATTTAATTTAAACCCTTTGCGCCGGTGCCTCCCGGCCCATTAAGCGTTTCAGAAGGCGGGAGGCGGGCGGGGTTTTAGGGACACATGACCGCTGTGATTCGCTGTCACATGATCGGAAAAGGTCCCAATCGCAAGGGGAGATTGGGACCTTTCCGTGAGTCACGGACATATGTGCTGGGAGCGCGTGCTCAGCACATCTGTATTTTCAAATGGCACGCAAATATGTGGCCGCACGGCGTCAAGGCCCAGACGCCAAGAGGCCGCATATTTGCATATTTGCCTGCGCTTGGTTAATATAACAGACAATTACAACTGTTTGTGAACAAACCTCAAGTCTGCATGTGATCACCATTAATGGTGACTATTAACAGGAACCACTCTGGTTCATGATCGTTAGTTTAGATCAATGTGATCAGTGACAACACAGTCTGACAGCTAGATGCATGCATCTTGATGCACTTTGCAACTGTCAAGTGTGTAGAATGCAAACTAAGGTTCCCTTGGCAAAGAAACCCATGCTTGGGCACCTTAATTTACAAACTGTAGGAGTCTAGTGGTTAAACCATTTTATTTAACTTACAGAAATATATATTGAATGTGGTGTTTTACAATACTTTATGCAGAGCATAAAGGAGAAAAAAAAGCGATGCACAACCACTACATTCATCTGAATTTAAACTCACATGATATTCTTGGTAACATACTTCTTTACACATTTGCCGTGGAATGACCTGTAACTTACCACCAATCGAACAGCGGCGAGCAATTTCCCAGAAAACTAATCCCATTGCATAGATATCAGCACGTTTAAACGACTCAAAATGCTTCATATTTATAGAATCATCCAGTACCTCTGGGGCCATATATCTGAAATACAGAAAGAAAACAATTGTTTTTCTTTAGAAATACAGAAATGGTTTGATAAAGAAAATCTCCTATCTTATGGAATTAAAAAATTTAAATAAAATATGCTAGCACATTTTGGGGCACTCTTTACGCCTGGAGAAAAAGATTAAAAAACGCTGGCTCTGGCCAGCTCAGTAGACCGATAAAAAAAAAAATCAATCTTATTTAAAGTGGAAATAAATGTTTTGCCACAAAAAGAAATTTAGGATCTAAATCACAAATGGTAAAACTACAAATAGACATTGGAAAGGTTTTCAGTTTGACATCAAAACAGTCTTTACATCAATTTTTGTAGTAGTAGTTTCAGCCATGCTACAATTAAAACTAATAATGTACCTTTTAGTTCCAACTCTGTGATTTGGTGCAATGTCAATTGTATCAGTAGCAGAATCATGTCGGACAGCTAAGCCCAGGTCTGCTATACAGCAAGTTCCATTTTTCTTTACCAGTATATTTTTCGATTTCAGATCTCTGTGGGCTATAGCTGGCTTTCCTTTAAGATAAAAGGAAAACATATAATCAAGCATTAAAGAATTAAGATGCCATAACCTGGATATCAATAAAGTGATTAAAGAGTTGATTTTCATTTTTAACCCAGCTTTTCTCTTTTGGATTATGCGCCCAATCAAAAATTCTCGCCATTATTTTATAATACATATAATACGAATTATAATACATTTTAAAATCTGGTCCACCCATCCCTCCATTTTGTTAAGAATTCCCCATGTCGCTCTCATTCTCCCCCCCCCCCCCCTCTCTGACATAACATTTGGCCAGTGTGTGTGTGTGTGTGTTTTAGGAGTGTCACAGGAGGTCAGAGCGGAGGCCTTGCTGTCCAAAGAACCTGTGCAATTTAAACACCAATCATAAAAAGATAAGGCAGATCGTCAGATTGGCCAAGAGGAGACGAACAGTTTGATATGTCACTCTCCTTGTCTCGAATACAAAGGAAAGCAGAAAAATAGATCTCGTGAACTATTCAGTGTAGAATTTAATAATTCATATCTAATCATATCTAATCAATCCTCAGACGTGTCTGCATAATAATCTTACCCGCGGGTGGAGTGTCACTAGTGCATATGAAGAGTTATGAGCCAAAATATGAACTACACGAGATTTTGGCTCTAGTTTAGGTCTACGCCCAGACCTTCCCGCCCTAAACGGGGTATTGGTCCTTGACTTCAGAAACACCCCTGCTGGGGAACTACAAATTGGGTTGTCAGCTTAAGAAAAGTTGAGTTGAAGAAGTCTCCCATTTTAACATCAGAACCACCTGGGGAGACGCGTACCCTTTTGCTCTGAAACTTGATCTGCAAACCAAGGCTGATTGGCAAGTCCTTTAACCTCCTTCTGTTACCTCTTTGCTGTGCTGTTGTTCTCTGTATATTTATATATATATTGGTTACATCTTTTTTCTGTTAAATATTTTTATTGCACCCTTTTTGACCTTTTAGTAATAAATCTTATCTTCTGAAAGTGTTTTAACTGTTTCTATAGCTCTTCATTGCAATTCCCAAATTTCTGCCTCTAAAAAGAGCGCTACTGTGTTTGTTTAACCCTCTGTATAACCAGCCTGCAGTGACCGTGTTATATAGACTATTATCTCAACCATTATAGTGTTATAGAGGATATTGCGATAGAGTTTCCTCTTTCTCTGTACAAAAAGGAGGTGGTGGCAGTGTGAAGGGTTAATTAGGTAATTAACCTGACCCAGTAGCAATCTCTCAGGCTGCGGTACATAGATTGTGGTCCAATAAGCTGGAAAATTGTTGTGCAGGGTGCAGCTGGGTGTGGTATTGTTACGCACGTGACATCGCAGTTTTAGATTGGCTAGTCCTTCGGTCATGAGTTTGGTGAGAAGGGCTGGGGTCTAACGCCGCGTTCATCACAGCTTCCTCCTCCTAATTTCCTTAATCTCATTTAACAATGGAATATAATTTAATTTATATAGGTTCTTATAAGAAGCAGTGAGTTTTATCCTAGATTTAATTCTTTTTCTTTCCATACGAAGGGAAATTCCTTTTATATCTATTTTTCTCTATTTGGAAGGTTTATATTTTTAAGATCTCAGTTTTTGTTGGGTTAATTTTTAGGTTTGATAACTCCCCATATTCCTTCAATGTCTTCATTAAATTTGGCAATGTTATCCTGGGGTTCCCCACATAAAACAGATCATCTGCATAAACTGCCACCTTATGTTCTATGTTTCTATCCATATTCTCTTTAGGTCTATATTCTTCCTTATCGTAGACAACAAAGATTGACAAAACATACAATAATGGAGACAATGGGCATCCCTGTCTTGTTCCATTTGACATCCCAAAAAACTCTGATGTATCCCCATTAACCATAATATGCAGCGGATGGCCCACTATACAACTTTCCTATCCACTCTCTCATTCTGACTCCCAGCCCTAATATTTCTAAAGTATCCATCAAGTATCCCCAATCTACTCTATCAATTGCCTTTTCAGCATCAATTGAGAGCACCACCGCCGGGGTTTTCCCTTTTTCTACTTTTCTGAATAAGTAGCAAGGATCTCAACCCATTGTCTCTACCCTCCCTCCCTCCCTGAAACAAACCCCACTGATCCCCATGTATCATTCGGGCATTAATCTTTCAGTCTAATTGCTAGAACCTTTGCATATAGTTTAGTATCTGTGTTCAGCAATAGAAACAATTGAGTACGGTCTGTGATACTTTTTGGACCTTGAAGAAGGGGACACTCCCCGAAAGCTTGTCCTCAAAATTGTATGTTAGTGCAAATAAAAAAAGTATCACAGACAGTATCAATTGTTTTCTGTCGCAAATGCACTAATACGGCTACAATCACCTCAAGCAAAATGTGTTCAGCAATGAAATCGGTCTATAACTTGAACACTGAGTGACATCCTTTCCTTCTTTATGAATAAGAACCACATGTGCCTGTAGGGATTCTCGCCTCATTCCATCTCTCCCCCCAGTGCATTCATATATATCTCTCAATTTGGGTTTACGAATTGTTTTAGGATTTTTTCTACCTTTTTAATAGCTACTTGTAGATTTCTTCCTGCGTTACTTCTCTGATTCTAGGCAGTTCAGTTTGTACTTCACTTATTTCGGTAA